GGCGGCGAGCGCGGTCAGCGCGGCGGCGTGCGCGCGCCGCATGCCCCCCGCCGCGCCCAGCACGCCCATTGACAAAGATCAGCCCAAACTCTGAGAAAGAAAAAAAATTGTCTTATAAATTGCAATGTATACAATTTTATTCTGCATATTAATATAACTCTTGTATCTCTTACAGGATGCAGGACGTTCACCTGTTGCCGACACGTCAACGTCACGACACGATACAAGAATGTTGTGAGCGACGCATTGTGCATAACAAGGTGTTGCGCAGAACTTTGTCACACAGGACACGTCTACACGTCTGCTCTTGTCTGCTTCATTGGATACATATAAATCGAAAGACTGAATCTAAACTCTTAGTTTATTTTTTTCTACTTGTCAATAGTGTGATACTGTCGATGATTTCCTAGTACAGAGATGTAACAACAAACAATCAATGAAGAAGAACAACAATAGTGTCAAGGTGAGTGCGGTGTCCGGTGACCGCAGCGGGCACACGTCCTCAGACCCAGACCTTCACGCTACGACGACCAACCGGATCACAATACAATCCTAACAAATACAAGACATTTGTCGCTACACTTGATTAGAAACACAACTTTGATAATGCTTGAATTGTTTAAGGAAGAAGGAAGCAAATCACATTTTATAGACATCAGACGAGTTGCAGTTGCGCCGCCTTTTACTGGAAATAGAAAGACTATCAGCTTCTCTTCAAGGAGTTCTCTCTCTTCTCTTCTTCTTCGTAACGTTACGAAATGATTTGCAAAGATATCCGAAATAAGAAACAAATTAAAATGAATTTACAATAAATCAAGGCTTAAGTTTTTTAAATTTATTTTGTCAACAGTAATGACGTCACGACACACGCTTATTTCCGGGAAGTCGTAAATATTTTAATTAGATCGATTTTTTTATTTAAATCTTTGAGACTACGTGAATCGCATATCTACTGAAATACCAATACACAAAGCATATTATCATCCTTGTCATTCGCTTTAAAAAAAACGAGACAGCAATATATTGTTTACCCATGTTTCGTCAATGGAAACACAAGTGCGCAACACTTTCAGAACAATGTAAAATAATTATCTCAATGGAAAGCTGACCGCGTCTCCTCTGTACCAGTTTATTTTTAAATACTCAGAGAAAATTACACATTGCAATGCTAAATACCGTTGTGACGTCACAACCAGATAAAAATAACAAAAAAAAATATATACTATTGAACCGTTGTAGAAAATCCACTCTTTTTTTAAATGAAGCTTACATACAAACCCACACATATAATAATGTATACAACATAACTTCATTCAAAATGATTGATAATATTACATGTATAGTATTTTTAAAACAACTCTTTCCTACTTCATTCAAAGTTTATCAGTTCCGGGAAATAAATGTCCTTGAAATATGTTGGTCACCCGAGCGCCACGTGCCGCTCACGAAAATATGAACATTTGACATTTTGATTGAAATGCAATATTTAAAGATAAAGTAACAAACACACGTTAGGTTTTGTTTGATGGTTATAGCCTTACATAAAAAACATATAGACAAACCCTAGTGTGTGTGACAAAACTGTCCACTTAAGGGTGTAAAGTAGTTTCAATTTGAATATATTGTATGAAAGAGGATATGCGTAAAAAGAGAGTGAATACATCTGAATTAAAAGAGATGTTTGGAAGAGTAGTAGCATAACATGCTGACAATACATAAGAAAAAGAGCAGAAACTATGATAAAACCGTGGTGCAAAACCTAACGTGTGTGTCCAGCATAAAACGTGATTGTGTCAAATGTTTGTCGTATTGGTTATCACTTATCAAACTATTGGCCATTGTGTGTTACTTATATTTTGAAATTCTGTACAAGTAATTCACATGTTAATTAACGCTTTATTCCTAACGTCATTGACGAGATGTTTATTTTATTATGTTGAATCAATGTTATATCCTTCGTGGTCACAATAGTTATGTTGTCAAAAAGAAAATAAATGTCAAATCTTTTGAGTCTTTGCTGCTTGAATTTTAAGTGATTTCAAAATGTAGATCCTTAATTCTTTAGTTTAATGCTTGAAAGGCTAGCTTACCACTAACAGTAATAAACTTTTAATCTTCATAGTTTGTTATGTTAAGTGGTTTGACTGCACTAGAACCTGGATAAGTAAAAATTATAGCTCCATATACGAGAAACTCGAATAAGAGAGAAAAGCTTTATAAGCAAGAAAATATCCAGGTCCTTTAGATTCTCGTTCATCCAGGTTCGACTAATACTTGTATTGAACATGTCTGTCTTTTTCAAAGTAACGTGAGAGATAACGATATGTGTCAATACAAGTTATAATACAGTAGAAACCCACAGTTTCATCATAAAGCTTCAAGGATTAACAGCAAAGTTTACAACACGACATGTCAAGCGATACAGCACGATCTGCTAATTAACCTTCGCCATACAACACACAAAACCATAGATTCACGATTCTTTTAATCACCTGACATCATAGACCTTGTGGTTATGAGGATTATCTATGGTGCAATTGTTAAGTACAATTTAATATAAATAAATTACGATAAAAATTCTTATAGACTTGCAAAAAGACATTGAATTTAATTAGGCAGATGTTTTTAGTCAGTGCAAATTCAATCATTGTTATATTTGTCGATAATAGTGACGTATTAGTTACAATATAACATCGATATCAAGTGTAAGTTATCGATGTGGACATCATTGTTTATTGCAAACAAATAACAATGGAAGTTAACAAGTGCGATATATACAAACAATATAATCACATTGTTAATACATTTTATGTAAATAAAAGGTGGTTTACTGGCCAAAAAGATATTACAAAAAAAAATCTTCGCGTTCGAATTTTTTGTTGAATTCCAAATTTAAATTTCTAATGATTTCGGTTACGAAATGTGACATTTTCTGGTCAAAGTCCTTATTTGGTTTTACGTCATTTTTTATTTTTTTTAGAGCGGAAAAGTTGTAAGCCTCAATTATTTTATTTAAATCTTAATAATAAATACGAAAGTTTGGATGTTTATTTAAAGGTATCTCTATAACGGCTCAACGGATCTTGATGAAATTTACCACAGAGAAGGAACTTGAAAAATAATGTTGAAGAACACATCTACTAATTATTTTTTTTTTAATTCCGCGCTGACGAAGTCGCGAGCGACTGCTATATAGATAGAACAAACTAACGCATTATTGTCAAAATGTGTATGTACTTTAGTAGAATTTTTCCTTTTTATATTTCCTACTTTACAGTTTTTTTTTAACTTTTTTTTTAAACGATAAGGAAAAGTGTAAATCTATAATTTGTAACTTAAAATTCCATACTCATCATCTTAATGTTCAACATTCAACAAATGTAAAATCATACAATTACTGGAATTAACATTGTCAGTGGTATTTCCAAATAGAACTAATATTGCCTGTTATTGTATTGCGATGTATTTATTTATAATAAATTGGATGTATGTTAGTAGGTATCTCCAGAACAGCTGCATAGATTTCGCTAAAGCTGGCGTAGAACATAGTCTGAAAGAACACATAGGCTACTAAATAAGTTTGTTTTAATTACGCGCGAACAGAGTCGTAGGCGACAGCTAGTTGTTATACAAAATGAAGTCAAATTGTGCTATAAGAATAACATATTTTAGTTATTTCTATGACAAAATTGTTTCACCAGTATTGCTCTTTAGTAATTGTTAGAATCGACAAAATTATTATATATTAAATAAATGTAAAAACTTAACGCGAAAAAAATACAGGACGATTCAAAGATAACAATTATGGTTTATATCCGACCTTTTGTAATAACAATGTCTGAATGTCTGTATGACTCAGTGTAAAAGATGAACAAACGGACGGACAGCAATTAACTTAGGTACTAAATGACTCAACTTCCTACGAAGATTCCTAAACACAATTTGTTTAAAAAAACCCGCTTTGAGTCTGAATAGTTATTATAAATACAGGCAGTTGCTGGCGACATCTTCCGCGTGGAATTATAAAACAATCTTGTATAAATATAGTCAATGTAATCCGGTGATAGTGTAGCTACCCAATAGTTCAAGAATTTCTCAAATCGGTTCAGTAGTTTTCGAATTTATTTGTTAGAAACAACCTAACAAACAAATTATTCTAGTTTTTCGTATAGTCAATTAAGAAAATAATCTTATCGATGGCAAATGAAATGAATATTAGTAGACAATTTACTTTAACAGAAGAGACAGAAAAATGAAGTTGAATAGTTGTTTAAAACAATCAAATTATCTGTATTGTAACAGAATATAATTCAAGAGGTAACTTCCTTGCGGGCGCCTCGTCTGAGCTTTTTGTAGCGGCGCGCTGTGCGCTAGCGCAGGGTCAAGGCCCTCAAGGCCCCTGAGAAGCGGGGTAGGGGCAACCTACAGAAAAGGGGAGGAGGGACAGCCGAATGAGCCTTCAGAAGCCAATACTAGTTTCGCACGACGGAAAAAGAGTGAGACAGAGCAGTGGAACAATGCAGTACACACAAGTCTACTCTGATATAAAGTGCGAGTTCCAAAAATAACAAAATTACACTTTCCTAATCCTACTGTTTTACTTCGCTATTCTACCCTCGTGATAAAATAGATAGGGGAATATGTCCAATGCGGGGGG